GGTAGCCACAAGGAGCCCTTTGGTAGCCACAAGGAGCCTTTGGTAGCCACAGCACCCTTTGGTAGCCACAAGGAGCCTTTGATAGCCACAAGGAGTCTTTGGTAGCCACAAGGAGTTCTTTGGTAGCCACCACAGCCCTTTGGTAGCCACAGCAGCCTTTGGTAGCCACAAGGAGCCCTTTGGTAGCCACAGCACCCTTTGGTAGCCACAGCAGCCCTTTGGTAGCCACCAGGGGCCCTTTGGTAGCCACCAGGGGCCCTTTGGTAGCCACCAGGAGCCCTTTGGTAGCCACAAGGAGCCCTTTGGTAGCCACAGCAGCCTTTGGTAGCCACAAGGAGCCCTTTGGTAGCCACAGCACCCTTTGGTAGCCACAGCAGCCCTTTGGTAGCCACAGCAGCCTTTGGTAGCCACCAGGGGCCCTTTGGTAGCCACCAGGGGCCCTTTGGTAGCCACCAGGAGCCCTTTGGTAGCCACAAGGAGCCCTTTGGTAGCCACAGCAGCCTTTGGTAGCCACAGCAGCCTTTGGTAGCCACAAGGAGCCCTTTGGTAGCCACGGCCCGCCTTTCTTGCCTCCCCTCAGTACGACTTTGCGGCCTGGATGCCCAACACCCCCGGGACCCTTCGGCTGCCCCCCCCCGGCCCCGAGGACCCGGTGACCCCCGACACTTTTTTGGCCACTCTGCCGTCCCCAAAAGCCACCGGGGCGCTGCTGGCGCTGCTCAGCGTCGTCAGCTACGAAGTCGGAGAGAGGGTGAGCGGGGGGCGACCCCAAAAAGAGCCTGCAGGAACCGCCATGGCCCTACAGGAACCCCAGCACCCTATAGGACACTATAGGACACTATAGGACACTATAGGACCCCCATGGCCCCAAGGAACCCCGTGGGACCCCCATGACCCCAGGGAACCCCCCCTAACCCCATAGGAACCCCCATGACCCTAAGGAACCCCGTGGGACCCACCGTAATAGGAACCCCTTGTAACCCCATAGGACCCTATAGGACCCTATAAGGCCCCCATGGCCCCAAGGAACCCCCTGTAACCCCATAGGAACCCTATAGGACCCTATAGGACCCTATAGGACCCCCATGGCCCCAAGGAACCCCTTGTAACCCCATAGAAACCTCCAATAACCCCATAGGAACCCTATAGGACCCTATAGGACCCTACAGGACCCCCATGGCCCCAAGGAACCCCCTGTAACCCCATAGGAACCCCAGGACCCTATAGGAACCTACAGGACCCCCATGGCCCCAAGGAACCCCCTCTAGCCCCATAGGAACCCCAGGAACCTATAGGACCCCCATGACCCCAGGGAACCCCCCCTAACCCCATAGGAACCCCAGGACCCCATAGGACCCCCATGACCCTAAGGAACCCTGTGGGACCCACCGTAACCCCATAGGAACCCCAGGACCCTATAGGACCCTATAGGAACCCCATGGCCCCAAGGAACCCCCAATAACCCCATAGGAACCCTATAGGACCCTATAGGACCCTATAGGACCCCCATGGCCCCAAGGAACCCCTTGTAACCCCATAGAAACCCCCAATAACCCCATAGGAACCCCAGGACCCCATAGGAACCCCAAGACCCTATAGGACTCTATAGGACCCCCATGGCCCCAAGGAACCCCCTGTAACCCCATAGGAACCCCAGGACCCCATAGGAACCCCAGGACCCTATAGGACCCTATAGGGATCCCATGGCCCCAAGGAACCCCATGGGACCCCCATAGCCCATAGGAACCCCCTGTAACCCCATAGGAACCCCCTGTAACCCCATAGGACCCTATAGGACCCTATAAGGCCCCCATGGCCCCAAGGAACCCCCTGTAACCCCATAGGAACCCCAGGACCCTATAAGGCCCTATAGGACACTATAGGACACTATAGGACCCCCATGGCCCCAAGGAACCCCCTGTAACCCCATAGGAACCCCAGGACCCTATAGGACCCTATAGGACCCGCATGACCCCAAGGGAAGCCCCAGTGACCCCATAGGAGCCCCAGGACCCTATAGGACCCTATAGGACCCCCATGGCCCCAAGGAACCCCTTGTAACCCCATAGAAACCCCCAATAACCCCATAGGAACCCCAGGACCCCATAGGACTCTATAGGACCCCCATGACCCCAAGGAACCCCCTGTAGCCCCATAGGAACCCCAGGACCCTATAGGACCCTATAGGGACCCCATGACCCCAAGGAACCCCCCGTAACACCATAGGAACCCCCATGACCCTGTAGGACCCTATAGGACCC